ATCCTAGGTTCTATCTTCTAACATTGATTCTAGGACATCCTTGGTTCTTATCTTCTAACATTGATTCAAGGACATCCTAGGTTCTTATCTTCTAACATTGATTCTAGGACATCCTAGGTTCTTATCTTCTAACATTGTTTCTAGGACATCCTAGGTTCTTATCTTCTAACATTGATTCTAGGATATCCTGGGTTCTTATCTTCTAACATTGATTCTAGGATATCCTAGGTTCTTATCTTCTAACATTGATTCTAGGACATCCTTGGTTCTTATCTTCTAACATTGATTTTAGGATATCCTAGGTTCTTATCTTCTAACATTGATTCTAGGACATCCTAGGTTCTTATCTTCTAACATTGATTCTAGGACATCCTAGCGCTAAGATCGTTTCAAAAATACGGTCTACCAGCTTTCCAGATTATCCGTACCCAATTTCAGCTCCGTTGTCGGAAAATATGCTTATGGGATCAAAGGTTTAGATGCTATAGACTCGTATTACCTTTCAAACATCAAGATCACGCACAATCAAATATTGCATCAAATAATGTCTTGAGAAGATCATGAATATGAATCTGATGCTCTTTCATTCTCGTCAAAAATCGGCCACAAAAACTGTTGGTGTACCCGCACCATTAGCGGTTTGAAACCAAGATGAGAAAAAATACTCACTTCATTATTGGTGCTACAGGACCGAATATTTCTTCTTGTACACATCTCATTTCATTTGACACATTACCGATAACTGTCGGTTGATAGAAGTTACTTCCCTTGTCAGATCTTTCACCACCAGTTAAAACTTTCGCTCCACTTTTAACAGCGTCGTCAACTAAACTTTTTACCTGTAGAAAAATATACGAAGGTTGTCAGTTTGGGGGTGAATAAATAGTAATAGAAACTATACAAGTACAAACTATAATTTGGGTAAACATGAATGAGCAGTCAACTTTATTTAAAGGTAGAATAGATAGTAATAGAAACTATACAAGTACAAACTATAATTTGGGTAAACATGAATGAGTAGTCAACTTCATTTAAAGGTAGAATAGATAGTAATAGAAACTATACAAGTACAAACTATAATTTGGGTAAACATGAATGAGTAGTCAACTTTATTTAAAGGTAGAATAGATAGTAATCAAAATTATACAAGACAAGAAAAGTAAGAAATATGGTGGCAAAATTTCCCTCATTGCACACTGCATGGCATTGTCCATATAATTAGCCCAATCAGTCCCAAAGTAGGACGTAAAACTCAATTTCAGTTTAGACTTACCTTATCTACAGCTCGACTGTTAATTAATGGACCTATCGTTGTTTTATTGTTAAAACCATCCCCGACCACCATATCTCTGTTTACTGTTTCTGTTAGTTTATCAACAAATTTATCATAAATACCAGCTTGTACTAGCAGTCTGTTGGGACAAACACACGTCTAAAACAAACAACATAGAAACTTAATCTAAATTTACAGTCATAAATCATTTTACAACTTCTCTAAAACAAACTGAATTGTCAGGTGATTGGTTTTCAAATAAAAATTAATTTTGTAAATGCTCTGAAACATATTCTTTTGGATTTCAGCTTCTCAACTGGCATGCGTCTTTAGCTGGTAGGGCATATTGTTTCTTGAGTTCTTCTCATGCTGCCAACATGTTTCTGATACACAATCCTCATCAGGACAACTAGTTTAGAAATGGAGGTTAACTTTCTAATATAGAACTTAATGTTAGTCTCATGCTGCCAACGTGTTTCTGATACACAATCCTCATCAGGACAACTAGTTTTACTTTGGATTTTGGACAGACACACGAGGAGAAAAATCTCCAGTCAGTTGTTTTCCACTATGTTGATAATCACGTGAAGATCATACAATTAAAGGAAAATGGATGATGACACTGTCTTGAAGACGATAAAACTTGTTTGATATTATAAATCCTATCAGCAACGCGATAATCTTGTCCTGGAAACACAGGCAACCGTGAGATTTTACTCAAGTTTTGCGTCGATGACAAGGATCTGCAACCAAGAGCCTTCGTGATATTTGCAGCGTCATATTTTAAATAGAAATTAACGTTACCTGGCCACCACATCTAAATTTAGCTGCCATTGTTCCTTTAACAGCTAAATCTACATCCGCACTGTCAAACACAATTAAAGGTGCATTACCTCCTAATTCCATGGAAGTTTTTTTCATGGTGGAAGCACACTGTTGTTGTAAGAGCTAGAAAATAACATCAAAATCAATATGAATTAATAAAAGATTTTTTTCAAACAAAGTTTTCTGGATGTTGCATCTTCACGATGTCAATCTATTACGAACTTCGTCTTGTACCTTGACTGCATTAGCCACCTTTCTTGTATCACATCTTCACAATGTCAAGCAATTACGAACTTCTTATTTATACCTTGACTACAATAGCAACTTTTCTTGTATACAGAAAAAACTGCATTATCAATCTGTTTATTAACTATAGAATTGGCCAATTACCAGGGCAGCCCCTTCGTTAGGGTGGGGTCCGTGGGGGCTGGGCCCCAGCAAGTGAGATTTAAGCCCCAGCAAAACCTTCTTCAGTTCAGCAGAAATTGATTCATTACAGTGTCTTTGTACAAAATAAAAAACATAGATTTTGATAGGTTTTTGGCAGCTCAAAATCGTCAGAAATGTGTTCTCTGGGCCTTTAATTCTTCAAATTTTCTGAGCACAAAATCTGGGCCCTAGCACCAATTCATTCCTGGCGACGGGTCTGTTAATTTTGGCAGCTCAAAATTGTCAGAAATGTGTTCTCTGGGCCTTTAATTCTTCCAAATTTTCTGAGCACAAAATCTGGGCCCTAGCACCAATTCATTCCTGGCGACGGGGCTGTACCAGGGGCTTAGACTGGACGCCTTCACGCCCTCTCACAATCCAGACACCCTTTGCAGTAAGCCTCTCTGATCTGCATCACCATGTTATTACATTACATTACAATGTGGATTATGGAGTGTATATTTACCTTGCCAACAGCTGTAGAACCAGTAAAAGAAATAATGG